AATAGCTTCCCCTCTTTCCTTAAAACTTCAATCGCATTTTTTATTTCCTGGACTCTCCGATAGCTGCGATAGATCTCATTGTTAGCCACAGCATCTCTAATAGTTTCCTCTATCTCTGTTTCTCATATGTTTTTTAGCACTCTCACTTAGATTGTTATGTGTTTTATTTAAATTTATTTTTATTGGATTTGAATTTTTATATTAGTTTAGTTGATTTTATAATGTTGACTTTATTAAATAAAAATTGATCTCTGTTCAAATTTGGTCATGATTTTGTTATTAAAATCAATGTTGTAGAACTTGCGATTGGGCGGCAAAAAATTCACTATTAATCAGAATTCAGGGGGTCACCACATTGATTCGATTCCAATGCGGCCAATTTTTGCTAATTTGCTCCATCTTCTTTGATTAGTCGGACGCCTAGTCCTTTCTAGCTGCTACAATTGCGTTTGGTCGATACTAATCGTGAATATTGCTGACTAATCAGGGAAGACATGGCTTTATTATTATTTTTCGTTTGGTTAATTGAAACGACATCTTTTCAATTAGCAGCCACCCAAAAAAAAAAAAAAAAACCTTCCCTATAAATGTAACAAAAAAGTGCTGCGTTTTCAATTCTATTGATCTATTATTGACGAATCGTGTAAGCAATAACATTAAAATTCAATTCTACAAATTTTGCTTCTCAATTCGATTCATGCTGCGTTTTCAAGTTTTTGCAAGTTCTACTTAAAGTTCTCTCGACTTTTCATTCTTATTTTGAAGGTAAGTGCTCAATACTTTTATCTATTATTTAATTTAATTTTCACTATTTACTTATTTTTTAAAATTTTCTTGATTTTTCAGGAATTTTCTTCTTTTTTTTTTTTTCTGACTTTTCATATTTTCTGAAAAGAAAAAAAGGCCTAATGCCGCTCCGGTGCCTCTAGGCGATGCTGGGTACTTAGCAGTGGCTCATCGCCTAGTCATCGCCCAGCGACTAGTACAATATTGATTAAAATTTTCTGTGTTTGAATTCTCTATGATGACTAATTTGTGTTGTGAATCTTTCGCATTTATGATCTTCGAAGATGTTTGTTTGGTTTATGCTTAACCTTGAATAGATTTGAAGCATCTATTGTTTTATTGATATTAATCTTTTAGTATTTGACAATCGCATTAGATCTTAAGTAAAGTAGAATTCGAGCCACATTAGATCACTTGCTTTTTCATTTATAAGGCTTAGACTTGAAACTTTACCCAAGAAGAGCCAAACTTCTTCAATTTGGATGAAAAGATCCTGATATCTATTGTTATTATGACGTCATACTTGATAGCGTTCTTGGTTTATGGTGATGTTTAAAAGCTGTGCGATAATTTTGCTACTGTTTATAATCCCTTTTGCTTCCTGAAAATCACTGCGAATTTCAAGCTTATTTTGGCTGCATATTTGTTTTAAGTGAATTAATTATGGTGTCTTGTAAGAAATGTAACTGAAAAATGAATGAAATAAAAGAAGTAAAATAAAAAAGGAACAAATGTTATAAAGATTTGAAAAAATCTGAACGATTGAATGAAAGATTTTAAAGGAATGAAAAAAAAAGTTTTAAAGAATTAAAAATTGTAAAAAATTAAATTAATGAATTAAATTAAAATTATGTTTTGTCGTAAAGTAGGATTTGAAATGTGTAGTAGTATTTGTCGATTGCTTGTGACAAGTTAATGCGGTCTAAATTGAAAATATCTTTCAAAAATGGTAGAGCAGGTGGATTGGAATACAAAAACATATTTAGAAATATCAAAATTGGTAATGTTCTCTGTTTACATAACGCTCTTTGGGACATTTTTGATTAATGTGTGATATGTTGAATACTTCAATGTCCTTCATACAAAATCTGTTTGATTGGTAGGTGTACTGTTAATTCAAGTTTACTTGTGAGTTGAACCGGGCCTTTAAGCTCAATGGTTCGACCCCAAGCCTTAAGTGTTTGGGTGAGATGGTGGTCAGAGTTTCGAGCTCTACCACCATCGTGAACTTTCACCAAAAAGCGGCCTGATGGCCGCGTGCTTCATTTGAGAAGGTGGAATGTTCACCCGGTTTGGGAATTGAATCTCCAGTTGCTAACAATTAATTCATACTAATTTCTTAACCATTACCCTTGTCAAAAAAAAAAAAAAAAAGTTTACTTGTGAGTTAAAGTATGTGTTTGAATTGTGGATTGATATAATCTGAACCAAGGTCCCAATTGAGTCTTAAGTATGCCCAAAGACATTGTCTACGTGGGAAAGAAAAATATATTTTTTTTTATAGGAAATAGAGAAATATATTAAATAATAAAAAATTACAGAGTAAGTCTCCTTCTCATGGCAATATAGCCTAAAGCAGCATATCCTAAAGACAGAAATCAGAAGCATAACATGAAGCATAACCTACAACACTAGTAACAAATTTAAACTATACCCATAACGGATATAGAAAATTAAGTAAAGAGAGCCATTTGTAACTAGAGATTGTGATTACAATCACTGTATGGACTAAATAGAGTTACTAATGTAGAAAGGAGAGTCGCTATAAGCATCAAAAACTACTGGACCTCTCCTCACCTATTTAATCAGTTTCATGGGGAGAGCAAGTGATTTTGGCAACAAACAATCCCCAACCCACAAGTTGCTGCCCTATCTATTCATTGAGGAAAAATCAATAGGAGGGGCATGGTCCTCCATCCAAGCCCAGGCACCTCTCTCGTCTCCATGAGCTCCCAACCATGGCCCTAACTATTCCAATCCTCTTTAATCCCATGTTGCTGAAATTCATTAAGGGAACGAGAGCTCCTTTAGCGACCGGAATAGCATTCTCCCCTTACAAAACACCATTGGCTTCACTAACCGCATTCCTTTCCTCCTGCTTTCAGCCTGAAAACCCAATCAACCTTCAAAGACAACCACCTGGATCAACAATTACAATAGCAATAAGGGATTGTGAAACAGAGGATTGTTGCAGTTGAGAAACATTTGTCTAAAGCAGAGCCAATCCACCCCCTACCGACCCAATCAACGAAAAAACCATGTGCAAACCCTAGATCTAAGCAAAACAGACGCATCGCAATAGTGGATCACTTTGTTTTAGAGAGGAAAATGATGTTGGGCTTGTGCAGGAAACAAAGCTTCTTTAGATTTGAAATCACAAAGTCCTCCCCGGGACCTCCCCAGGCCAATATGCGATTCAAATCCATGAAAGGAATAGGGAATCGAGAAAAAAGCAAGAAATACAGAGGAGGGGCCTTGGAAAAATAGGGAGAAACAACAAAGTGAGAGGCTCGCCCGTCGGAGAGGGAAAACCCTAGCAGTGGCAGCGAGAGCAAAAAAGCTAATGGAAAGAAAAAATATTTAACATGAGACATTCTATAGTTTAAAATATGATTAAGCATGACATTGGAATTTTGAAGAAAAGGTTTCTCATTTTGAATATGATGCCTTCTTATTCACTTAGGAAACAACATCATCTATGAAAAGCTTGCTGTACTATCCACAATTTTATTTTAATGGAAGATGAGATGGGTAGGTTGTTTACAAGTGGAGAAGAATTTGATACATTAAGTAGGGAAAAAGGACATGCAAGTTCAAGTGTTAGCCAATTGCAATAGATTTGGAACAAGCTACTCAAATGGCACAAGTTAGGGATGAGATTACTACAACTTTGTGGAATCATTGTAGATAAAATAAGTGTTAATGAGAATTATTTTGAATTCTTTTATATATATTTTTTCTTTTTAATTTTTAATTT